AAGTACTCACTGTGGAAAAAATATGGGCAACATGATGTGTGTAGTAAAATTACCATTTGAAATTGTAAAGTTACAAGTACTCTGTGTCGACTAAGTATTCATTAGCGAGCAAGAATGCTCTGTCGTAAATTAACAATATATTTTGTAAATCGGAAATACAAAATATTTTGTAAATTTACGAAGATATTTTTTACAGTGCCTCGAATCACTTTTGGTGAACACTAAAGGTCACTCGCTCCGCAATAAGTGGCATTCGGCTAACCTGAGGTGGGAGGCATCCCAGGCTAAGCTGCGTTCATTGTGAGGGTGTAACCAAAGCTATATACCAGGTGGCTGATTAACCTCGCTCACTTCTGTAGTTATACTGTCCCGCACGCAGGAGTGCAGGCGGGCTTGCCTATCATCCCTGTGCACGGCGCCTTACGGGTCGACCGAGTAGGCAACCCGCCTGCACTCGTGCGTGCGGTGCAGCATAACTACAGCAATGAGCGGGGTTCATCAGCCACCTGGTACATTGTGTCGCAGAGTGGAGTATTTTGTTAGCTATAGTGCCCTCTTCCAAAGCGGCACCCCTTCCACCCGGTGCATTGCACTCGACTGGGTCCATCGCACCTGTTCAAGTATTCTAAAATTCGGAAACCAGAGCAGATCTGCCTACTATTTTGTGATATCGATGTCCACTCTGCACGCTTCGCGTGAGGACGAACAATCAAACAGCGGAAAAGGGGACCTCTTTCAAAGGTCCATGCCTAATCAGCATTTTATTCACGGTACCAAAGTACGAATGGTACTTGAAGTTTTCTTTGTCACATATGCCCCATCATTGAACTCCGCAGGTGGCTACGTCATCCCGGCCGGTGCCAACGTGACAATCAGTTGCCTCCAGATGGGTCGCGACCCGGTGCAGTGGCCCGACCCGGAGAAGTTCGACCCCGACAGGTTCCTCCCGGAGAACTCCGCGTGCAGACCAGACGCAGGCGTTTGAGGACTGGACAAAGAAATATGGCGGCATCTTTCGCCTTTGGGTCGGAAACAACAAAGCTGTCATCATCTTGAGCAAACCTGAAGACCTGGAGGTAAAGGAGGAATCCTGACGGGTCGTTTGCATTTGCAGTCGACTACCGGGCAGCAGCGTCTTAGCATGCCTGTTGACTATTTCAGATTCTCCTGGGCAGCAACAAGCACATCGAGAAGGCGGACGTGTACAACCAGCTCCACTCCTGGATCGGCGAGGGTCTCCTGACGAGCACAGGTGAGGTGGGGGGATTTAGCTCTGGGACGCCGCCGCCTGTCGGCTGGAGGGCAGGCAACCCAACGAGCTTCGCTGTTAAGGTCTGCCTATCTCAGAGGCTCCAGCATGCGGACAAAGGCCTCACATTGTTTCGACCCGTGCCGTAATAATTGTCAGAAAATATATTTACCCTGCATAAAAGGCCATTTATAATTGCTCGATTTTAAGATAGGTGGTTAGAAGAACACAAAATAATTAAAAATTATTTGATCAAAATCAAACCAGTAGCGGTAAAAGTGGTGGGTCGTAAGCCATAAAAATTTGTGCAACAAAGCGCCTGCATATTGACACCCCTCCCGCAGCGCATCGCCCCTTCTAACTTCTTCTCTTTCTTCAATTTGAAAAACCCAGGCAAGAAGTGGCACACACGAAGGAAGCTCATCACTCCGAGTTTCCACTTCCGAATCTTGGACCAGTTCGTCGAAGTATTCAACAGAAACAGCGACATTCTCGTCCAAAAGTTGCTGCTTCAGAAGGACACGATCAACGTGCACGCCTTTATCACCCTTTGTACCCTGGACAT